AAGCCTGCTTCTCCCTCTCCCACTCCCCTTGCTTGTGTTCCTGCTCTCGCTATCTCTCTCTCTGTCAAATAAATAAATAAAATCTTTAAAAAAAAAAAAAAAAAGAATGTTAGTTTATTTTTTCCACAAGGGTCCTGTAATATTTATTTCCACTCTTCAATGAAATTAGGAACATAAGTGTTAAGCAGAAAGGCAAGTGCTTGTGTAAAATATGTATGAGAGCATGAGTTCATTATAAAGAAATGTAATTGGAGGGCGCCTGGGTGGCTCACTCGGTTGAGTATCTGCCTTCAGCTCAGGTCGTGATCTCAGGGTCCTGGGATCGAGCCCCATGTCGGGCTCCCTGCTCAGCGGGGAGTCTGCTTGTCTCTCTGCTCCTCCCCCCGCTCATTCTCTCTCCTTCTCTCTCTCAAATAAATAAAATCTTTAAAAAAAAAAAAAGAGAAGAAATGTAATTGGTTAATATTTAGTTGCCACCAAATTTAAATGAAATGATTATCCTATCAAAGATCTCATTGGGAAAGCTGTACTCTTATTCCAGGAATGCTACCATTTCTCAGAACACTTCGATTCCTTTTAGAGCCTACAGCACATCTTTTGTACATCCTCAGAGGTGGATAATTTCATGTTTTTGTGGTAGGTTGAATCCTGAAAATAGTTGAGTCTATCTAAGATCATTTGTCAAGTTAGGAAATAGTAGTTGTAAGCAATCTGTGCATGACAGGAAACAAGACTGATTCCCATGTGTGGCAATGGCTATATCTTTGGAAGCCAGAGACTCATTGGGAAGTATACATTCTAACAAAAAAAATCTCACTCATATACCACACTTCAATTTTTTCCTATTTATGTAATGTCCACTAAAGGTACGACACCACAGAGGAAAAATTACCTCTACCCATCAACGCTGGTGAGAACCGAACCACGTGAACAGCTCCTTGATCAGCTGAAAAGGAAGCAGCCTGAACTGTTAATGATGCTAGACTGCTCAGAAAACAACAAGGAAGAGATCAGTCAGGTAAAATTTTAGAACTCTCGCATAAACTCCTTATGTCATCATCTTCATATGAAGAATTTTATTCTTTGCCCTTAAATCCTACCCTCTTGCATTAGTGGTAGTCGTCTGACCCTTAAGCCTGTTGCTTTTAATCTGGACATTTTAAAATTATTAAAGTAATAATAATAACCAATATTTATGTTATGCTTATTATGTGCCACAGCCTGTTCTAAGCACTTTACCTACATATTTACTCAGTTAATACTCTCAGTAGCCTTATGAAGTGGGTGCTAGTACTAACCCCATTTGAGAGGTGAGGAAACTAAGAATTACCAAGTCATAGGACGGAGTTGCAAGTAGAACCTAGGAGAGCCCCACAAACTGTGCTCTTACGTAGTAATTATAGATGAGTTGGGAAGTAGAAAATAAAAAATAAACTGTAATCCCATTATTCTGAGATTACTACTTTTAACATTACAGGTACTTCTCTATGAGAAAACATATTTGGGATTATTTTCATTATTTATTTTTTAAATTTCAAAGTTTGGTTTTTTTTTTTTTTTTTAAGTAATCTCTCCACCCAGCATGGGGCTTGAACTTACAACGCTGAGATCAAGAGTCCCATACTCTTCCGACTTAGCCAGCCAGGCACCCTCATTATTTTTTAGACTTCCTACTAATTTGGTTGAGGTTTAACTTTTATACAATGGTCATTGTGTTATTTTCAAAGAAGAAAGCTGCACGTATTTTGTGAAGATTTTTAAGTCCTTGGACTTAATCACTCATCTACCTTCTTATGTTAGGACTTGGATGAAGAAAAGTCAGTTCTAGGGCACTCTGTTGAAGAACTTCCAGGTCAAGAGCCATCTATAGATGCTAGTGTGGATTGTTCATCAAGTGGTGGGATTCCGTTTTTCCAGGTACATGATTATATCCTGTCACATAACCCTTCCCACATCTGAAATAAGTCAGTCGTTGGCTATTGAATATGAAGGTATTACTCTTAGTGGGCGGAACAGCAAAATATTTTGTCATTCCTTTGGGATGGCTTGTTAACTTTTCTGATTTAAATTATTTACACAAATATGATAATTGATCAGGGGTTTTCTGTAGGAAAATTAAAGGCAAGGTTTAACTTACTCTCCATCCTCAGATAGTACTCTTTAGCTGTTACGGTTTTCCCCTTTCCACTTCCTACATATGCAGAATGGTTACTGAGAGCAGTCATTTCTCTTTCCCCTCTACCTTTGACAAGAAGTCCTGGAGCCTATATCTGCTCATACTCAGACTTTGAAAGCTAAGAAGTTTAAAAGACAGAGACTGAAGGCCTCTCAGGTTATATTAGTTTCTCCTACCTGTGGCTTTTCTCTTATTAAGGATTCCCCCATGTTTCCTGAGCCTCCTTACCTGCCTTGATCTTTCTTGTACAGTTAAATCCTGTGACCTCTCCCAACTCCTTTTCAACACTCTTGGGAGCATGGCACTATAAACTGCCCAGCATCTTTCCTTTTATTTTGAAGACACGAGCCTAGACACAGTCTGTGATGGAAGGATTTTCTCACATAAGACACCGATGTCTACATTTTACAGTCGAAGTGCTGCTTCTGATAAGTGTATGTTCTTGTACCTCGTAGACTTGCAGGTCTTCCCACCAAGGCCTAAAGAAAGACCCTCCATCTGCGATTTAAGCTGTTAGAACTTCTAGCTTAATTTCTGTTAAATTCCTCTCTCTTTGTACTCAAGGTAGTTTTGTCCCCAGATCCTTCCTACCTTTTGCTTCACTCTTTACTATGAGAGAACTCTAAATATATTTCTTTTCATTTTTCAACCCTCTCTTCTATCTTTAAAGTTAAGGAAAGAAGGAAAGTTAAGAAAAGAGAACCCTAAAAAAAAAAAAAGAAAAGAAAAGAGAACCCTAGTGACTACTTAATCCCCTGGCTGGAAATCCCTTCATTACTACCATTTATGGCATTTTGAAGGCTAGGCTTAGTGGTTCAGCTAGGGCAAGGAAGGCCCTACCGTACCAGAAAAGATTTGGGATTGGATTTTAGACCTTGAGCTGAAGTCTGAAAATTATTTTTTCCCTGCTAGCAGTCTCATGGGGCAATTTTCTGGGTTTGAAATTCTGAAGTTGGTTTATGATTTGTCTCAGCGTGGATGATTGGTTGTGCAATGAATGTCATTAGTCTCCTAAAGCTCTCTATGGGCAAATGTGAGAATTCCAGTGAAATATAATTCCTAAGTGAGAAATATGAAATAAGTTTAAGATAAAAGCTAAAATACAGTTAAAAAAATGTCTTGAGTTAGCCATATATCAGATTCTCTGCTTAAAATAGCATTGCCTTTTTTGTATGATATCAAATCTTTGTTTTCCTAGCGCAGGATTTCTCAATAGCAGCACTATTGACATTTTGAGCTGGATGATCCTTTGTTGTGGTGGACTATCTTGTTATTATATGATGTTTAGCAGAATCCCTGGCTTCTACCCACTAGAAGCCAGCAGCACCTCCTAGTTTTAACAACCAAAAATGTCTCCAGATATTACCAAATGTCCTTTGGGGGGTAAAATTGCTCCCTGTTGAGAACCATTGCCCTACAGTAAAATCTTTAATTATGCCTTGGAAAATCATGCAGAGAATTAATACTTCTTTCACCTCACTCCTTCCATTGATGGTAAGATGAGGAAGGCATTCATTTCTACTTGCCAAACAAATTGTTGGCTCCAATTTGTGCTGAGCCTTTTCCACACTTAATTTCTTGCCTATAACCCAGAGAACTTTGAAAATAGAGTGTAGCTAATATGTATCAAATGTTACTTTATATTGACTTAATTTCTCCCATTATGTCCACAGCATAAAAAATCACATGGAAAAGACAAAGAAAACAGAGGCATTAATTCAGTGGAGAGGTCTAAAGTGGAAGAAACTACAGAGCATTCTGTTACAAGGAGCAGACTACCTCTACGAGCCCAGATAAATCTTTAGTTAACTTGAGGGATTGGTGATTCTATTTTTAAGAAAAATGAAAAATAAAACCTGTAACTCCAGAACTTGAGCCTTATGTATAGATGAAAAACAAATGGAAAATATCAAGGCAATACTGTAAATTCAGTTGGATTTAATATGTCTACTCATTTTTCTGTCATCCCTGTAGTTCACTGTGTATTAAGTTGGGTTTTATTTGGGACTTGCATTGAGTAAATACATATTTTTAGCTTTTGATATAAAATAACCCTTTCCTAAAAAATGAAAAATATTTTTCTCAAAAAAAATAATAAAAAAAAGGAAAAATATTTTTCTTGTATTTCACTAGGCAGCATATATATAGAAGTTGTACTGTTCTTCTAGGCTTTAACTTACATAGGTAAATATTGCCAACTCGGTCTTGGGAAGGACCATCTCTACTTTTCTTGCTATGATTGAATTATGTCTGTATCTGCTTGCCTCCTTCCCTAGACTTTTCCATTCTGCATTCTCAGCTCATTTTGTCCTTTTTCATTTGTGACCAAACCACTTGTAGAGCTACAAAATGGTATCCATTCTTATTATGAGATAGTGTGAATTTTACCTAGAAGTCTTTTAACACTTTCTGTGGTTCTAAAATTACTGTCAACAATAAACATAACTCTAGAAGTAGTCCTTCCTTCAATATTTTTAGTTTGTTTCCCCCTAGATATAAAAGCATTCCTTTATGAGGCCTAACACATTAGCCCCCACAGAGTTCGTAAAAAGCCAGCTTCTCTAGAATATAGATTACTCTTATGGGAGAACTACCAAGAGTTCTGATTAATGGCTGTGTGGCCTATGTGTTGTGCAGAAGGTCCCAGTGATTTAAGGGCTTTTTGGAACTATTAATTATGACTATAATTTATATCTCTTTGCTTACCTGATGAAACTTTGTTCTTTGTATATAATAAAATATGTATATGTATATTTTTCTTTAGTGAAATCTTAACCCTTAGAAGGGTCCTGACAATTTTGATCTTGCAGCCAAATTTCTGGAAGTTGAGATTTTTCAGCATGAAGAGCAAGCACACTTAGAAGGAATATAGGCAAAGAAAAAATTTTGTGCCTATATCAAGTTAAGTATATACATTTAGAGAGATTTGACTGTGATAGCTAAGTAAAGTCAAACCCAATTGGAGAATTAGAAAATGTGCTACTTCAAGGAACTAAATTTACCTTGCAGAAGTATTAATCACCTTAATAAAAATAATGATACAGTTTCTCTGCAAAATCAGATGTCAACATAAGCTATGGATAATATCTAACAAAATAAACTGCCCTCAGTAAATCCATTAATAAATTTGGTTTCTACATTAACTTGCTTGCCCTATTATTTCTTATTTGGCAGTGGGTCTCTTTACAGAGTTTAGCAAGTTGTTCCAAAATTCCTAAAATACACTTCCACACAGGGGTGCCTGGGTGGCTCAGTCATGATCCCAGGCTCCTGGGATCGAGCCCCACATTGGGCTCCCTGCTCAGCAGGAAGCCTGCTTCTCCCTCTCCCACTCCCCCTGCTTGTTTTCCCTTTCTTGCTGTGTCTCTCTCTGTCAAATAAATAAGTAATCTTATAAAAAAAAAAAATACACTTCCACACTAGGATGAAGTGCCTTGGTAAACATCCCAGGCTCCTTCAGTTGCACTCTAAGGGACTACGACCTTAGTATAAGATTAATGAGAAACAGATTGGTCCTCACAAGGCCTGATGTGTCCAGCTTTAAGTCATCAGTTTCCGGACATTTTAAAGTTACCTAGGAATGCTAATGCAACTGACAAGCAAAAATAAATCACTGGAGAATTTTTTTATTTTAAGTAGGCTCCACACCCAACCTGGGTCTCGAACTCACAACCTCAAGATGAAGAGTCACATGCTCCACTGACTGAGCCAGCCAGGCACCCCAAATCACTGGAGAATTTTAACATCCCAAGTCTTAAATTAGCTCTACAATTTCTCATATACAATATCAAGCACTCAAAAACTAACCATCAGCAAAAATAGAGTAGATAGCTTCAAGGATTCATTCTTCCTGAGGCAAAAATGTTCAGAAACAACTTTGTCAGAACTAGGTTTATAGCAACCAAGCAAGTGCTCAATCAAGAGAAGGCAAACTAAAAACTAGGAAATCTTTTTGGTGTTTTACTTGCCCTTGCTCCATTCCCCTTCCCAGCTCCACGGTGGTCAGACTGCAGCCCACATTCTCAGAGCAGAGGGACCCTGTTCACTGGTCCTGAGGGCACAGAGGATCTCGTAATCTCTTTTTTTTTTTTTTTTAAGATTTTATTTATTTATTTGACAGAGACACAGAGAGAGAGGGAACACAAGCAGGGGGAGAGTGGGAGAGGGAGAAGCAGGCTTCCCGCCGAGCAGGGAGCCCGATGCAGGGCTCGATCCCAGGACCCTGGGACCATGACCTGAGCCGAAGGCAGATGCTTAACGACTGAGCCACCCAGGCGCCCCAGATCTCTTAATCTCAAAAAATTGTTCTGTCTGGGGCAAACCAAAGGCCTGAAGCAAGGCACTTGCCTTTGTGTCATCTAATTCACAACTCAGGGTGGAAAAGTGGCAGGCATTTCTCAAAACTATGATAAGGCAAATGAACAACCTGCTGCTACCTGCAGCAAAAGATGATAGTTGAGGTAAAATAAGGGGTGCCTAAAGCCTGAGAGGGAAAAGACAGGAGACAATTTCTTGAGGAAATTAGGCCATTCAAAGACAATGTATATTAGGGAATTGAGAAAGCCTCACGTCCAGGCCAATTTACGTACCTAGAGAAGACCCTAAGCTTTCGCTACTGCTGACTGATCTTTAGGTTCGGCACAAGCACAAAGTGAAAGCTAAGGTAGATTTAAAAAAAATTTTTTTTTTAAAGATTTTATTTATTTCAGAGAGAGAGTACACAAGCAGGGGTGGGTGGGGGGTAGACAGGCCACGGGAGAGGGAGAAACAGGCCTCCTGCCGAGCAGGGAGCCCGATGCAGGGCTCGATCCCAGGACCCTGAGATCATGACCTGAGCCGAAGGCAGACGCCTAACGGCTGAGCTACCCAGGCGGCCTGCTAAGGCAGATTTTAAATGGCCTAGCTAAGCACTGAAGGTGTGCTCCAACAGTCTGCAAAGACTGGGTGGATTTTTTTCTTTGTCTTTTCTTTCCTTTTTTTTTTTTTTTTTTTTTCTTGTTTTATTTTTTGGTTATTGGCATTCAAGGAAATCTGTCAGCAGTAATACTAGCTGACTGCAAAGCAAAAAGAGCCTTCAGAGACTACCTAAGTCAGAGAGTTGAGATTTGAAAGTAGTTTAGAAAAGTAACAAACCGTTAGTGCCACAGCAAGCAACAGAAACAAACCCTGAGGCATGAAGACTGATTTCCAGGATGTCACATTATAATACTAAAAAAACTTTAAGATTTTATTTTTTTGAGAGAGCACGTGTGCACACAAGCAAGGAGGGGCAGAGCGGGAGGGAGAGGAAGAGGGAAAGAATCTCAAGCAGATTCCCCGCTGAGTGGGGAGCCTGATGCTGGGCTCAATCCCACAACCCTGAGATCATGACCTGAGCTGAAATCAAGAGTTGGACGATGAGCCACCTAGGTGCTCCAATACTAAAAACTTTTAACAAAAAACTAAGAAGTATGCAAAGAAACAAAGTATGGCCCATTTACAGAAGAAATTAACACAAACCATCCCTTATGAAAGACAAATATTGGACTTTAAATGAACTGTCTCAAATATGCTCATAGAGCTAAAGGAATTCAGGAGGGCAATGTCTCAACAAATAGAGAACATCGGTGAAGAAACTAAAGAAGAGCCATACAAATTTTGAGCTGAAACATATCAAAACAAATGAAAACACACACACAAATAGACACACACACATACACAAAACACTAGAGGGTTCCAACAGCAGATGTGAGCAGGCAGTAGAAAGAACCAGTGAACTTGAAGCGAGGTTATTGAGAGTGTCTAATCCAAAGTGCAGAAAGAAAAAAGAATGAAGGAAAATAAACAGAGTTGAAGAGACCTGTGGACCACAATGAATCATATCAACATTCTCAAAACGGGAGTACCAGAAGAAGAGAGAAATGGGCAGAAAGAATACTTGAAGATAGAATAGCTGAAAAGTTCTCAAACTTATTACAACACTTGAATCTTTACATACAAGAAGCTCAATAAATCCAAACAGGAGGAACTCAGAGATCCACAAGACACATTATATATTCAAACTGTCTAAAGCTGAAGACAGAATCCTGAAAGCATAAGAATATAGTCTTCAAGGAAATGCAAATCAAAACCACAGTGAAGTACCAGTTCATATCCACAAGGATAGCTAGAGTAAGAACAGAAAAGAACAAGTTTTGGTGAAGATGTCACGCTCACTCTCTCTCTCAAATAAGTAAAATCTTAAAAAAAACCACACCAAAAAACCCTCCCCCACCCCCACTCACATGCTCTCTCTCTCTCTAAAAAAAAATTTAAAAAAAATGTGTACATTGTGCGCTCATAAAACACAGCTGCTTAATACTCCTTTGAAAAATAACTTTGTATACAAGGAGATAGATCTGGACCAAAAAAAGAAAGATAATGGAAACAAATTTCAGCAAATGAGATGATCTGCAAAACAAGATCTTTCAAAATCAGACATTTAAAGAATTTAAATACATGAAATATTTTGAATGATAACTGGAAATTATAAAAAGTCAGATGGAAATTCTAGAACTGAAAAATTCAACAAATTATAAACAGAGAATGGGCTTAGTCTGCTGGATAGTTAAGAGTTAAATTAGAGGGAGTTTTAAAAAGTGGATGATAGGTTAGAAGAAAATAGTTACACTGAAGCATAACAAGACAAATGGACAAGAAACCCAAAGAAATGGTATGGTGAAAAGGTCTAACGTACATGTAATTAGAACCTCCAAAGGAAGGAGAGAGAATGACTGAAGCTCTGTAAATCTCCATCAGGATGAACATCAAGTCACACCGAGATACACCATAGCTAAACTGCTAAACGCCAACAATAAAGAAAAAAATCTTTTAAGTAACTAGAGGGAAAAAAAGGCATTATTTTCATAGGAAGAAAAATTAGGCCGACCGCTGACTTTGCAATAGAAAGGAAGCAGACAGTGGAATGACAGCTTCAAAGTAATGAAGAAGGTAAAGTCAGCAGGAATGCTGGAGGAAGGGCCTCCATAAAAGCAAAGAGACACGGAGAAAATTGGTCAAGATAACATTTTTCAGAATTCTGGTAATTAACCAAAGGCTTGGAATAATCCAAGGAGCATTTCTTTATTTATATTTTTAAAGGTTGTATTTTGGTTAAAATTATGAGTTTTGTGGTATTTTAACTTGACCTGTTCTTATCACTCTCCCCAGCTCCTCATTAGCCTGGAAAACCAACAGTCCCACAATCACAGTGAAGACCAGTAGCCTAGTAGCCACTGCCGGGGGTCGATTAGGTTTGGAGCCCCCTGAAAACACCATTCTCGGATAACTGTCATTATTTGACCTATCTGGCAATTCTCTGGAAAACCTGCGTTCAAGGGCCTGTCTTTATTTGACCTGAATCCAACCTTGCTCAGTGTGAACAGCTTTTTTCCTGGGGGCATTTGTTGAAAAGAAGCCACAGCCGTGCGTGGTTCGTGTTTCGCATTGCACCTACCTGAGTTAGTGATCTTCCTCCTCAAGAAAGTTGAAAAAGAGGGACGCCTGGTTGGCACAGTTGGTTGAGCTTCTGACTTGGGCTCAGGTCATGATCTTGGGGTCCTGGGATCGAACCCCAAATTGGACTCCCTGCTCAGTGGGAGACTGCTTGTCCTTCTCCTGCTCTCTCTGCCCCTCCCCAACCCATCTCTTTTTCAAATAAATAAAATCTTAAAAAAAAAAAAGGAAGTTGCAAAAGAAGGGCAAACTAAACCCAAAACAAACATAAGGAAGGAAACAATAAAGATTAGAGTGGAGCTAAGTGAAATAAAAAATTAAGAAACAATAGAGAAAATAACTGTCGTCATCAAATTCTATGCCTAATGAAAATATTTTTTAGGGGGCGCCTGGGTGGCTCAGTCATGAAATGTCTGCCTTTGGCTCAGGTCATGATCCCAGGGTCCTGGGATCGAGCCCCGCATCG